GTCACACATAATTGGGATGGTTCCTACGGGTAATCCAAGATCAAAAAATTGTTATTTCAACCATAGGTCTTATGTAACTAAACTTCTTACTACTATATATTATGCCTCGGTCGTGGAAACGGCTACTAAATTTTGCTTCCTAATAGACCAAGATATTGAGATTGTTGAAACTTAGTTTGTTTATTATTGAGATTCGTGCAACATGTATATTTTTTATGATTCCAATTATTATTATTTTAATTACAATTTTTCCTAACATATTTTGAATGTATTATTTTTGTTGTTTGTGTGTACTAGTATTTCTAAAAAATCATACTCCATATTGTTGAAGACTTCAAATTAGACTTGATTAGGGTTTATTACAAATGAAGTCTGTTGTTATTTTTATTTTATTGAGTCTGAGAGAGAGTGATTGTAATTGAGTAACTATGCTCACACACAATGGGGGAGTGCTTAAAATTACAATTTTTAACTTAATCATACTATACAAACTCATTTAGTATGGGATGATTTGTTCAATTATTTTTCCCTATAAGGAGTCAAATAAACTGCAGGTAGAAATTTTTTTTAAGTACTGATCGTACTATATGAAGCTTCCTTAGTACAAAAACCATCCATAGTATAAATTGGAAGGGTCCCTTTTTGTCCCGATCAATTCAAAGTTTTTCTTAATGGATCGTATTGTACAATGTCGTGTTCGTACAAATGCCATCCAGATTATGAATTAGATGGGTCCCTTTTCGTCTCGATGAATTCAAAGTTTTTTTGAATGGGTCATACTGTATGATGTTTTATTCGTACAGATGTAATCCAGAGTACATGTTGGATGGGTCTCCTTTCATCCTGATAAATTCAAAGTTTTTTTGAATAAAAAATACTATACGATGTCATGTTCGTACAAATGTCATCCAGAGTATAAATTAGTTGCGTCCCTTTTTGTCATGACCAATTCAATATTTTTTTTGAATGGATTATATTGTACGATGCCATGTTCGTACAGACGTCGTCCAAAGTATAAATTGGATGGGTCCTTTGATAAACCTAAAATTTTTCTAAATGGATCATATTGTATGATATCTTATTCATACAGACAATGTCTAGAGTACAAAAATATGGGGTCCCTTTTCATCCCGACAATGATAAAAAATTTTCTAAATGTTCATACAATATGAATTTGGTTCATATTGGATAATCATCGTGTACAAAATTATTTCGTACATATTCACAAAAGGTTCGCATGCAATAGTTTTTGAACTATTCATACATATGAACATACGATCGTATTGAATGATCATACACCCTCAAAATTGAAAATTTTAGTTTTCTGGGTGGTTTTTCTTATCTTTCATATAAAAGTTCCTTAAAAACTAACATGAAAAGTGGTTGATCTTTGTGATTTTTCAAGAGAAACTGAAAGAGTGAGTTTGGGAGAGTGTTTGAGAGAGTGTTTTTGTAAGTGGAGTGTGAAGGGTTCAAAAGGTTACTCAAATGTAAGAATCTCTTTTTGATTTTTGGTTATACCCTTCATTTTCTTCTTTTTAGTTGCTCGAGAGAAGATCTTTAAAGAAGATCATTTCCTTTGTCGACACTTGGAGGATGTAAAAGGATGACAGTTCTCTATCGATATTTGGAGGGTATAAAAGGATGATGGTTCTCTACCGACACATGGATGGTGTAAAAGGATGACGGTTCCCTATCAACACTTGGAGGGTGGAAAAGAAAGACAATTCTCTGCCAACACTTGGAGGGTATGAAAGGACGATGATTCTTTACTGTACCGGGGATTGATAGAAGAGAGGAATTGTAAAGGCTTCTCCACCTTGTTGTGGGAACAAAAGGAGAGTCACTTTGGTAATAATGTAATACCTGAAGAGAGAGTCTTCAGGGAGTGGATGTAAGTCGTGTTTTGACAAAACCACTATAAATCTTTGTGTCATTTTATTTTCTGCATTTTTATTTTTTGAAATTTTGTTATTGTGATTGAAAAACACATTTCAAAAGATAATCAAATTTGGAAAATTATTAAAATGGTTTTTTATTAAAAAATCCAAAGAATTTTTAAATTACCAATTCACTCTCCTCTTAGTTAGCCTTGGGATAATTGCTTAGGTTTAACAACCTATACAAATTCAATAAGTGGTATTAGAGCTTCATTTCAAGTCTATAAGTTTAGATAACTTTTTGAAAAATGATAATGGCTACTTTTGGAAACTGAAACACACCAGAAGGGTATTCGATCACTAGACCTCCATTATTTAACAGCATCCCTTTTGGTTTTTTGAAAACATGAATGTTTACATTTATTTAATCACTTGATTATCGCATGTGGATTTTAGTTTAGGAAGGGTATACTAGGCCAACTAGACTTATAGATGGCATTAGAGTTGAAACATCTTTTGCTGACTATACTATAAAAGAGCATGACTTAGCACAATTAAATGCAAATATTTAAATGGTTTCTTTTGTGCACTTACCTTTGAAGATTACATGTGGGTTGCATAGTTAAGATTATTTGAAGTTAGTGAGAGAAAGTCGTGATTTTTAGAGAACATTTTTCAAATTTCTTGTTTAGCGGCTCATTGGTGGGTTTCACACCGGTGATGGAGGATCATCCTCCGGCCATCTCCGATGACCGGAATGTTCCTCTGTGGAAGGGAATAGGATCAATGGCATCTAGTGAAGCAAATTATAGGAATGCTTCAAGAATTTCCAATACGGCTCTGGTTATCCGAGAACCAAAGGCACTGGTTGTATCTCTTGTGTTGGGGAAAGGTAAACAAGTAATGGTTGAAGATGAAATGAACTCTCCTCAGACTATTCATAAGGTCGGATCGTCTTCTTCAGAAAGAAAAATGATTATTAGTATGTTTTCCAGTTTGAAACCAATATTTGTAGCAGGAGACGTTCAATTGTCTGAAAAAATTCAAGGTTTCAAGTCAAATGTTTGTGAAAAGTATATAGAGGGAGAAAATCAGTCAAAACTGATAATGGAAGGTAATGCCAGTGTATTGGCATCAGAGCAGGAACCAGTAAATCCATGGATAAAATGTCAGTATATTAAAGTTAAGCTTCCAGCCTATAAATCATTTAAGATGGAAGATGGATCAGCAGTCAAGCTATTTGAGCCCAATGTTAAAACTAATTCCGAGAAGCTGCAATGCTCCATTGTTGTGAAGGTGTTTGGGTATCGCATCCCGATACAACTAATAGCGGCTGAGCTGAGATGTTAGTGGATGAAGTTTTGAAAGTTTCTTCTCACAAGCCTTGGTTCTGATTAGGTATTATGCTCTTTCTTCTCTAAGGATTCCATGGATAATGTTTTATCGGGAGGTCCATGGTTTGTCAATGGGCATATAATTGGGCTGGATAAGTGGAATTCTGATTTCAATCCCAACTCACTCAAAGGGCTGTCTTCTCCAATATGGATTAGGATGCCAAGTTTGTCGCTTTACTACTGGGATGAAGTCAATGTTTCAAGGATAGCTTCTTCTATTGGAGAACCCATTTTGATAGATGGAGATATGTTCAAATGGGGGAGGAGAGAATTTAACAAGATTTGTGTCTGCATTCAGCTTGACTATCAATTGCCAACTAGTTTTTGGGTGGAAGGAATAAATGGCAAATTTTTTCAAAGAGTGGAATATGAGAAAATTTCCAACTTTTGCTATAAGTGTGGTCGGATTGGCCATTTGAAGGAAGCTGGCAAGATTGTTGAGAAGAATGTAGGGTCAGCAGCGAACGTTAATCAATATGGAGCGACAGTTAAAGAGAAAGGCATTAGTACCAAGGAAGACCCAGCTTTGAGTTCCTGGTTATTAGTCAATAACAAAAGATATAAAAAAAAGGAACTTGGGAATGTCTAGAATGAAATATATTCCAAAGGAAGGAGGCTCTCTGAAATCTGCTAATAGAGATAAATCAAATAATGAGATGTATAAGGGAAGTAATGTGATGAGCCTGGAAGACAGACATAGGGTCTTGGGTACTCAGGGAGATGATAATTTGAAGAAAGACAAGTAAAAAATGCAAGAGGGTGCTAGCAATCCTGCTGAAGTTCGAAGTTCAGTTGAGGATGTTGTTAATTTTATTGAAGCTCCTGTGGATGACAGTAATCAAGCACGAGGTATGACGGAATTCAGAGAACCTAAGGGAAATCTAGAGATTGATTCATCCCAGGAGGTCTTATTTACATTGGGTAATAAATTTGAAGTGCTTAACTCCATATGCGATGGAAATAGTAGATTGGAAATTCAGGATGATTCTAAGGAAGAGGCTGTGGAAGAAGGAGAACTGGTGGAGATTCTGGAAAATTGTCAAACTAATAATAAAGTTGAAGCAGCAATTTATAGCAATGAGAAGAGCATTGAAAGTCAAGATGGGGAGAAGACTAATCTGAACAATGATATGGCTTATATTCAAAAAACTAAGTTGGAAAAGGAGCTGAGAAGGGGTGGGGGCCTTTCCCCATTCTTATCAAAATGAGTGATATTAGTTTTTGGAATTGTAGGGGGGCTAATAAGAAGGAGGCCTCCTTGTATTTGAAGGAATATATTAAAGAATGGGATGTCTTTTTTGTGGGGATTGTTGAAACTAAGATATCTTTGCTTTCTAAGGAAGAGTTTGGCAAGTTTTTGGGTGAAGCTTGGGAGTATTTTCTTTTGCCGTCTAGAGGAAAATCTGGAGGGATTCTGGTGATCTAGAAATCTTATTTTGCATCATTTTCCTTATTGAAAGCCTCCGACCAGTGTGTGGTTGGTGAGTTAAAGGTGTTCAATAAAGGTATATGGATGGTAGCAACTATTTATGGTAGTAGGGATATGCATGGTAGAAGATAATTATGGGATTCCCTGGATGGGTATTTGAAGTCAGAGGTTCCTTCCGTGGTAGGAGGTGACTTCAACTGTATACTATCTCAAGATGAAAAAAAGGTGGAAAGAAATTTTCTTTCTCACTTGGACCATTGGAGATGAAGTCATTCATGAATATAAATGATCTACATGATGGGTATTCTTGGTTCAAAATCTACATGGTGTCATAATAAGAGTGGCAGTGCCCGAATCTTGGAGAGGCTGGATAGGTGTATGCTGAACTTGAAAGCCTTGGAGCTGATTAGTCAAGCGGCAGTGAGGCATTTAAGAAGAATTGATTTAGAACATTGTCCAATTGTATTTAAGATGTTTAATCAGCAAAATTATAGAACTAGATTTCATAAATTTGAAGATGTTTGGTTATCTTATTCTGCTGCAGTCTCGGTGGCAAGCATTCTTGGGCTAAATCAGTGAGAGGAGATGATATGGAAGCATTAAATAAGAGACTGTCAAGGGTTCTTAAAGCCTTATTTTTTTTTAGCAAGGTAAAGCATCAAAAGCTGGAGGAATTGAAGGAAAAATCGAAGGATGAGATCAAGAAACTTTGGCTGGAAGAAGCTCTGGACCAGCAGTTTTTGAACAGCAATGCTCTGTTATTTAGATCCAAAGTCGATGAGTTTAACTGCACTCTATCACGGTTGAATACATGGTGGAGACAAAGGGATAAAGCCAAATGGATGAAGGAAGTGGATTCGAATTCTAGTTTCTTTCATGCCTTTGTGAATGGTAATTTGATTAAGGAATTGAAGAATGATGATGGGGAGCTGATAAAGGATCCTGAAATTATTAGGAGAAATTTTTCTGAGTTTTTCTACAGCAAATGGAAGCTTAGGGACTGTCAATTGGAAAATTGGCCCTTAAATGAGAACCTCCTTAAACATGAAAGAGCTGAAATCCTTGATGCTATTTTTTCTATTGAAGAAGTTGAAGAGGTGATTAGAGAACTTAGCAACAACATTTCACCAGAGGTGGATGGAATAACCTACTCTTCTATCAAAGCATACTGAAAGATCATTGGGATGAATGTGTGGAAAGCTATTCAACTTTGCTTTAATTCGGGTAAAATATCTTCCAAATGGAAAGAAACATTGGTGGTGCTTATCCCCAAAGTAAGTAATCCTCTATCTCCTTCAAATTTTTGGCCAATAGGCTTATGCATGTCAATTTTACAAAATTGTGGCAAAAGTGCTGTTAAATAGAATGATGAAAGTGATACACTATTTAGTATCTAAGGAACAAGTGGCATTAATAAAAGGGAGGGATTTATCGGAGCATTTGTTTCTTGCACAGGAACTTTTTCATTAGTTCAGGTTCTCTAAATCTAAAAGAGGATTGGTGGCAATCAAACCGGATATGGAACAGGCATATGATAGTATGGCCTGGAATACCCTTAGGCAAGTTTTAAGATATTTTGGTTTTCCAGAAAGGTTTTCCAACCTCATAATGGAGTGTGTTACTGACCCTGTCTTCTTGGTGCAAATTAATGGTGTTGGTTTGGAAGGAATTAGAGGAAGGAGTGGCTTTAAACAGGGTTGTCCATTGTCGACTTACTTATTCATTCTATGCTCCCAACTACTTACTAATGCCTTCTTATCTAAGGGAAGGAACTTGGGTTTGAAAGTAGCCCCTTTGGCTCCCAGGATTTCTCATTTGTTATTTGTAGATGACATATTGATATTCTCTAATGCTAAAATGGGAAATTTAAGGAGGATCAAGAAAATCACAATGGAATATTATAGATGGATGGGTCAACAAGTAAATATCTCAAAATCTTTTATCATTTATAGCAAGAATATGGAAAGGAGGAGGGATATCTCTAGACTTATGGGGTTCATGGAGGTCAAAGAGTTCAATTATTTGGGCAATAAAATTTCTTTAAGGAGGTTTGTAGCAGCAGACTTCTCAAAGCTATTAGAGAAAACAGCCTATAAATTGGACATTTGGGAGAAAAACAAATCTCTTCGGCTGGCAGGGTGATTCTTATCAAATCGGTGTTGCAAGCTATTCATGTCTTCTACACATCAATTTCTCTGGTTCCTTTGAGTATCTTAAAGAAGCTTTATAAGATGTGTAGGGAATTTCTAGGGAACAAAATCAATGGGAATAATGGACTACATTTTGTGGCATGGAAGGACATATGCAAACCGGAGAGCCAAGAAGGACTTGGTATTCATTCAGCTGTGGATATGATCAAACCTTTAAGAGCTAAGCTGGTTTGGAATTTCTTAAAGAAACCAAATTCTATGCTTAGTAAATCCTTATCAACTAAGTATGGTAGAAGTGTCTGGGATGAGGAAGGAAGGCAAAATTCTTCTCCAATATGGAAATTAATGCTGAGTGGAGCAAAGGCTTTAAGGAAAATTGTGAGGTGGAATATCAAAGATGGGGTATCGGTGCATATTATGAAGGATATTTGGGTCCAAGATAAAAGACTAGATAGATGGCCTACATTCATATCAATGGGGGATGAAAATTTTCTAAATCTATCATGTTTTATTTTGGATGGAGGATGGATACCAGAGAAACTGCATGAGTTTTTTGGGGAAGAACTGGTGAAGGTGATCTATAAAACAAAGGTTGGAACAGATATTACTGAAGATGAACTGGAGCTGTTGAGAAGCTTTTCTGGAAAAAAATAATTTCTTCTCTAGCAAGATACAACAACGCAAACTTGGAAGAAGATGAACAAACGGTGATACAAGATTGGAAATGCATTAAAGACCTGAATCTCAGTCCTCGAGTATCATATTTCTGGTGGAGGCTCATGAAGAATGTTATACCTACGATGGATTTCTTAATGCATAAAAGATTGTTAGATAATAGCCTTTGTCCAAGAGGTTGTGATATGAAGGAAGATGTGGAGCATGTGGCTGTTAAGTGTTCTAAACTAATTCAGGTAATTTAAATGAATAATCGATGGGGGTTTTCCTTACCTATTTTCAATAGTTTACAAGAATGCTTAAAGTTTTTGAGGAAGCAAGGGAAGGTGGATCTTTTCATTACAAAAAAAGTATTATGCTTTGGTTTTTCATTCAATGAAGAGTAGAAACAATCTTGTTTATTAAGGCCAGGAGCTTGGAGCTGGATTTATTATTACTAATGCTATTACCTATGCATCTATATCATCTAGAGGTAATCTATATTTAGACAACTGGGGTGCTAACCATCATTATATCCTGACTTCTTCTTCTTGGCTTCCCCCTCCACCCGGATGGATTAAGGTGAACATAGATGCATCTTTATGTAGTTCTAATGAAGCGGGGGTTGGAGGTATTTTCAGATATCATAAAGGAAGGATGCTTCTTTCTTTTGGATTCTCAGTTGTGCATTTGGACATTTGATACTTGGAGTTATTGGCATTTTGTTTGTTGGGAAGAGTTATCAAGGATTGGATGATGGATGTTAAAGGTTTTATTATAGAAGAACACACATTAATGTCATAAGGCATTTACAGAACTCGGTTGGTCATGAAAATTGAGTGGATGATCATTCAATGAGAGAGGAATTAGACTTTCTGAATGGATTTGAGGTAATTCTATTTCATTTTGTTAATAGGAGTTGAAAAAAGTTAGCTCATTGGTGTGCTAACTATGCTTTGAAAGTATATTTCTTTTGGGATGTTTTAGAAACTAATAAGGTTCCTCCTAGTTTTTATTCTTTGTTAAAGGAGGAAAGTGATAGGATTTCTATCTCTTAGTTTTTTTTTAGTCTTTCTTTCTTACTTTAATGCAATTGGCAGTTTCAACCAAAAAAAAGATTACATGTGGGTTTCCACTTGCAAAAGTGGAAATGACATTTAGGATAGGATTTGTATTTCATACGAAGGGACTGATGAAGTAAAATAATCGAGATTGAATATCTTGTTACATGACTATAAATTGTTTCACATGAAATCTAATGAATCCATTTCTAACATGTCATAAGATTTACTCAAACACACACTTCTTTGCATGCATTAGGTAGGAAACTAATGAACATTGAAATGGTTAATAAAATTCTTCATTATTTTCCTACTATTTATGATGCTAAAATAACTACTGTTATAGAGGCTAAGGACTTAAATATTTATTCTATTGAAAATCTCCTTGGATCACTAATTGCTTATGAGCAAGGAGTGACTCAAAGGAAGATTGATTTAGGAGAACAACAAAAGGAGAAGAACATAACACTGAAAGTGGATAACTTAGAGAGTGACCAGTCACAATCTAAGGTTGAGGATAACATTGCCTTGATAACAAGGCAATTCAGGAGTTTTCTTAAAAGGAAGCAAAGGAGACGCCAATAGAAAAACAAATGTAAGTTTCACAAATATGTTAAGGTTTTTAATGATGTTATTTATTATGAATGCAGGAAAATTCGATATATAAAATCAGATTGCCCTAAACTTAAAGCCACTCCTAATAAGGAGAAGGTAGAAGAGAAAGCAACTGTGAAGAAGGGCAAGAAGAGATTTCAGAGAGCTTTCTAGGCAAACTTAGCTTTGGATACATCAGAAATAGAAAAGGAAGAAGAAGTCACCAACTTATACTTACAATAACCTTGATAAGTCAGATCAAGAAGAGGTATGTGAATTAACCTATAATGAATTGTTAGAAGTTTTTGAAAGAATTCATACTGCATATAGAAAACTCAAGAAAATGCATCCTAGATTAAACTTAAAATCGTAAGAATTACAAAAAGAGCATCAAACCCTTAGGAAAGATCACGCACATATAAACAAAAACCACATGAGCTTACTTGATGAATTTGATGATTTGAATCAGAAAAATGAATTACTAAAATCATCCTAGATTAAATAGGAAAAAGAATTTAAAGATTTTAGGAATGAATTTGAGAATAGAGAGCACTATCAGAAATAAGATACCACTGTGTTAGAAGATGCAAACTCTTTTCTTAAAGTGACAGTGAAAGCTCTTGAGAAAAATAGGATAATCCCTACACTTGAAGATTTTAGTAATCCTATTTTAAGGTCAAAAATCTTAAAACCTAGGAAGAGATAGATTTATTATAAGAGATTGAAAAATCCTTTTCCTGGAGTTAAATATTTTACTTGTGGGATGTTTGGACATATTTCACACACTTATACTTTACATAAAAAAACTGATTTAGTGTGGAGACCTAAGATGCATAAAATAAGTCATATCATAAATGCATCTACTTTAATTTTGCTAAGAGGAGAACCCAAACTTGCTTGGGTTCCCAAGTATAATATTTAATTATATTATAAGTACGCTCTCATATAAGACCTCATGAGAGCATTTAGTACCTAGACATCAGTTTTTCGAAACATATGATTGGAGACACTATATAATTCATATCACTGAAAGCAAGGAATTAAGTCAAGGTTACACTGGGAGATAATACCACTAGGAAAGTGGTTGGCACATGTATGATCGAAAACTTGAATAATTTTTTCATTGAGAATGTTTTACTTATAGAAAGCTTTAACCATAATTTGTTAAGTATTAGACAGTTATGTGACAAAGGTTATAGTGTTAAATTTTTTCTCACTAGCTATATATTAAGCCTAAATAGAAATGATCTATTACATGGAACCAGGATAAATAATATTTATATGCTAGATTTGAACAGTATAGAAACTTCTAATGATTTTTGTTTAAAAATAATTTCTAATGAATCTTGGTTATGGCATAGGATATTTTGTCATGCTAGCATGAAAAATCTTAGAAAAATTACCCAAAATGATTTGGTTAGAGATATTCCATAACTAGACTTTACTAAGGATCACCTTTATGATGCATGTCAATTAGGAAAATAGGTAAAATATTTATTATATTTCACTATGGATCTTAGAACTAATAAATCATTAGAAATAATTCATATGGATCTTTTTGGATCTGTTAGCACTGTAAGTCTAGGAGGGAAGGTATACAAATTTGTGATAGTTAATGATTTCTTGAGATTCATGTGGGTTAAATTTTTATTTCATAAGAGTGAATTAATTGAGGAAGTTAGAGATTTTTTACTTGAATTTAGACAAAACTAG